CTGTGCCGCTCTCATCCCGCTGCTGTCTGTCGTCTGTGCCGCTCTCATCCCGCTGCTGTCTGTCGTCTGTGCCGCTCTCATCCCGCTGCTGTCTGTCGTCTGTGCCGACTGTTCCAGTTCTTTGTTATTCTGTCTTTCATTCCAGACGAGTCTTTGCAGGAGTTTTCCTCTTTCCTAAAGAACTTGGAAGACCAGCGGGACCTGATGGTGAGAGTCGCTTGATCTCGATCAGAACAAAGTGTTTAAATTTGCTCTGTTTTCCTTGGTGTTGTGTCGCTACCTAGTAGAAGTATGGTTTGTGTTGTATAGGTCATGTTCTAGTGGCAGATTGATTATAAATATATGTAAATCAGTGAATCTGAAGAAACTGAAATATTTGGTATAACTTTAATCTCGCTATGGAATGGCTAATGGCTCCTGAGTTTGTGTTGATGGTAGCATTTAGCGTTTTTCTGTATGTGTTCGGTGTGTGTTTGTAACAGGGTGTTTCGGTGTTTGTCAGTTTCTGTCTGCGTGATGCTTGGCAGAAAACGGGGCGGCAGCATCAGATCTCGGGTGCTAAATGCAAGCCAGTAATTATTAATTCTAATATCACAGCACAAAAGCCACTGTATTCCAGTGGCTCTGCTCTCCTGTCTGTTTCACTGTTTGCTTGGCAGCCTGCGTCCGATAAACTGGTTTCCTCTGAAGTGGCGTCGTGTCCTTTTTCCATGCTGCAGTGGGTTGGCCCTGACGCCTAGTTTGGCTAGGGCTTGGCTGCAACCTCAGAAGAGGCGTGAATTCATGTTGCCACATCATGAATAGTAAATTCTGCATTTTTTAATAACTGGGGTGGCATTTCCAGTGCTGCAGTGTCCCATAATCCCCCATGCTGCCCCCCCAGCTACACTTACATGGCAGTCTCACCCATCCGCCCGTAAAGATGAGCTATCGTGTCTGTTTTTGGTATGGCAGGGTACGGTCTGTGGTAAACGGGGCAGCGGTTTCCCTGTTAAGGTTGTGGGGAGGATGCACAGGGGTGGGGGGTGTCGTCAGGGCCTGCGGCTGGAACATTACAATGTCAGGCATGAGAGCGGGTGCCTCATTTACGTCTTGTTAGCTTATTGTTCCAGTGACCTCACACAGGAAGTCTGTTTTTTCACATAGGAACTTAACTTCAGATTATTTTCAGTTTTAATGTTTTCTCATTGTTTGTTTACCTTCTGGGTCATTTTAACATGCCCCCCCCCCCCTCCTCAGATGCAGAACATCACAGAGACTCTCCTGAATCCCCTGGAACGATTTCGTAAGGAGCAGCTGGGCTCAGCCAAGGTACGGCGATGCTGACCCACATGCAGTGTCTTGCCACTGGATCTCAGTGACGCCCCACATGCAGTGTCTTCCCACTGGATCTCAGTGACGCTTTCCCCAAACGCTGACCCCTTCTCCCACCTGATCTGCCCTTTTTAAGGAAGGAAAAAAGAAGTATGAGAAGGAAACGGAAAGGTACTACAGCTCCCTGGAGAAGCTTTTAACTGTGTCAGCGAAGAAGAAAGACCAGCATCTGCAGGAGGTGCTGTTCCTCACAGTGTCCTTCTTCCCAGTCCTAGTCTTGTGGGGGAAACGGTTTGCCTGAAAGTTATTGTTTTACTTAGTGATTAGTTTTGCATTTTCTTTGGCCACGCACCATGTTGCCTGTCCTGAAAGGGTAGCGTGAGGAAGTGGTTATTGAGGTGGTTGTTTGTGAAAACTGCTTTCCGGTTCTGACACTGCGATACAGTCCCAGAGACACAGTGTGGAGGTCCCACTGGGGTGTGTTTTGGGGGCATTCCTGGGGTCGTCCATGGCTACGCATCATACAGAAACTCGGGGACACTCTCAAGTTGTTAGTGTGAACTCCACAATGTCAAGACAGTTTTCACATTCACTTTCCTGATTGACTTGAGCTCAAAAATACTATCTGGAAGGAAGCTGATGGTCTGAGGCCAAAGGGCAGTTTTGTCATGACTAGAAAGATGTGCCCCCTCCCCCCCTTCCCCCCCCAGGCGGACCTGCAGGTGCTGAGGCAGCGGTTCCAGGAGGAGTCTCTGGAGTACATCTGCAAGCTGCAGGAGATACAGGAGAGGAAGAAGTACGAGTGTGTGGAGCCGGTGAGTCTGGGGGTAGTCAGAGTGGTGAGGTGTAGGGGGTAGGGCCATGCAGAGGGTGTCCTGGGGGGGGAGGGAGTAGGGGGTAGGGCCCCTGCCGTGTAGGGGGTGTCCTGTGGGGGGGGGAGGGAGTAGGGGGTAGGGCCCCCGCCGTGGAGGGGGTGTACGGTATGTAGGACCCCGACACAGAGGGTGTCCTCTCAGGACCATATTCCCCTTGTCTCCTCTCCTGCAGATGCTGGCCTTCTTCCAGACCGTCTTTACCTTCTACCACCAGGGATATGAACTGGCGAAGGACTTCGACCATTACAAGCGGCAGCTGCAGATTAATATTCAGAACGTAGGCAGTGTGCTGTTTAGGAGCTGTGTGTGTGTGTGTGTGTGTGTGTGTGTGTGTGTGTGTGTGTGTGTGTGTGTGTGTGTGTGTCCTTGTTGGTGTTAGGGTTATGCTCATAGAAAAGAATGGAGAGTCCCCACAGATATAGATACCTAATCTGTGTTTGTGTGTCTCTGTCTCTCTCTCTCAACATATGTCTTTTTTTCCAGATATGCTTTAGATGGCTTTGTACCTACTGTGTCTGTCTGTCCCCGACTGACACTCACCTATCTGTTGGTGGTTTTGTGTCACTCGTCACCTTCCAGTGTGTTTTAATGAATTTGATGCCCGGTAAGATGATGTTCGCGTCCCCGCGTGTCACCGCCTGTCCTGCTTGTGTCCCCTAGACGAGGAGCCGTTTCGAGGGCACCCGGTCCGAGGTGGAGGAGCTCATGAAGAAGTTCAAAGGAGCCCCAAGGGAGCACCGACAGATCAGCCCCATCAGCGTCGAGGGCTACCTCTACGTGCAGGAGAAACGTGGGTGCCAGTCCCTAAGCCGGGGGGGGGGGGGGTAATGCCAGCGAGGGGCCGCGATCTGACAGCAAGGACCTGTTTGTGTCCCCAGGGCCTCCGCCCTTTGGGTCCAGCTGGGTGAAGCGTTACTGCACCTACATCAAGGAGCAGAAGGTGTTGCACATGGTGACGTTCGAGCACCGGTCGGGAGGCAAGATCGTGAGTGACCTGGCCAGGCCCCCGCCTCACAATCAGCAGCTTACCGCGTCGCTGGGATCCTTCCGGAACAGCAGTAGCTGCTTCCCCACACTGTGACGTAACATGAACCAAGGCCGCGTCTCTGCTTTCTGTCTCCAGGGTGAGACGGACTCCGTCACCTTAAAGTCGTGCTCGTGGAAAACTGCGGACGCACTGGACCGGAGGTTCTGCTTCGACATTGAGATCTCTGACCGGTGAGCTGCTTTTCTTCGTTTACTTTCTTCTGGCATCTTCTGTTTACATTCGGCTGCTCCAACCCCAGAGGGATTCAGCTTGAGTGCCTCATTTTTGGGCTCTTGCTTCATCTGTGTCCTTAACCACTTAAAATCATTTAACCATTTAAAATCTTTCTTTTAAAAAGTGTTTGAAGGTGAATAAAAATTAATCAAAATTTTGGTATATCATGTCTGAAAGTCTGTCTTCAGATTAGCGTCACTTCCAGCACATCCTCAGCTCACCTGTGCAGAGATAGTCGTGATTTAATTTTCACTGGCTTATATGTCAGAGGGGCTGCAGTTGCAAGTCTGCCGGGCAAAACGGCGCCAAACAGCTGTAAACGCAGGGGGCTGATATCCTTTGCCGAATGAATGTGGCACTTCTGCCGGTACTGAGATCCCAGCTTCACCTGCCACCAGCCTGACTCCTCAGTGCGGGGCAAAACTCAGGTATCCGTCATGGGGGTCTTTTGTCCCCAAGCACTAATGCCCTGTGGCACTTTGTCTCAGACCCAGCCAGGTCCTCATCGTCCAGGCCCTGTCGGAGGAGGACCGGAAGTTCTGGATGCAGGCCATGGGTGGGACGGAGCCCGTAAGCTGCCCCCTCGAATCTCAGGGTCATGCAGAGTGAGGCCCTTAAGCCCTGACTGCTCGAGGGACTGTCGATCCTGCCTTGCATTAAAACACCTGCTGAACAAAGACATTGTAATTGTATTGCTGTTACGCAATCAGTGTAATTTAATTCACATTTTATTCTTTTAGGTTTGTTACCTAAAGAAGTTTTATTCAAAAGAGAGAGGCAGTAAGTAAACACTTTTTTTTCCCTTGAAAGTCTGAGGGATTTAAAAAGAAAGGTTAATGTAAAATGAAGTTTATCTCCCTTAGATGTATAATTCTCACTAACTTAACAACTAGGCCTGCTGTTTGCTGCTGTAATGTGTGCAGGTTGTTTTAAGCCTCTGTGAAAATGAGCTTTGGGGTGTTTCATGGGTAACAGATCAAAATGGCTGAAGGGCCCGATTCTTGTGACTGAGTAATGTCTGGTTTTTGAAAATACATCTGTGCAGTTTTGTCTGAAATACAAATTGTGTGTGTATTTTTGTAGTTGATGCACAGTTGGACCAAGTGGGATTTACCTTTGTAAAGAACTCCATCAGTGCTGTGGAAAAAAGAGGTAATTCAGAAACTGACAGCTGTGAAAGATTTAAGCTCTTGTTGTAGCTAATGTGATAAGTGAGTATATTCATGCATTTTTGAGAATGGAACGGAGGTTACGTTTAATAAAGCAATTTCAAAAAATGGTGTGATTCTTGTATTAGAAACAGAGTTCTTTGGGTGGCGGTAATTGTCACTGTGCAATGCTGAAAGTTCAGCACCAGGGGGCAACGGTGTCTTTTGATTTTGGAGTAAAAAAACTACTACTGGAATAAAGTGCTCGCCAGTGAGTGTTTTCCATAGTTGTTGTTGTGTGTTTTATTTTTTAAGGCATCAAAGACCTCGGACTTTACAGAGTTGAAGGCGTCGTGTCTAAGAGTCAGAAGCTCCTGAACATGCTGATCAGTAAGACTGACCTACAGCTTATTGTACCTCTAACTGTATGGTTTAATTTGGAGATTCTTCATGAAAGAAGTCGACAGTTACCCATAAAAGCACTGTATAGTATAGTGTATAGTATAGTGTGTAGTATAGTGTGTAGTATAGTGCTGTAATATGCCTTAATTGTCATTTATCTTACGTTGTAGTGACTTTATGTCCTTAAGCCAGCTGTCTGTTTTGGTCCCTGCTGATCGAGGCGGTTACCTGTTACCCGCAGATGGGAAAGGCGACGATGAGCTGAATCTGAGCACGTCTGATGAATGGGATCTCAGGACCATAACCAGTGCTTTAAAACTCTACCTCAGGTAAACTGGCCTGACGCACGCAGGTTCCAGGGGAATGAATGAATTGTCGATTTGTCAGTTTGACAGTCTGCCAGACGGCAGGCGGAGTTCCCGGCACGCCGTGCCGAATTCGTGATGAGCAGGTACTTAGCGGGACCTGTGAATAGGAAATGCCCCCCAGAACAAACTCATTATTTAGCATTTTCTTTTTTTTTTTTTTTTGTTCTTTTGTTAAATGGCGAGGTTCTCCTAATACCAGTATTTTAATATGTCAAAAAGTTCAGCTCTTCAGAGCCCCTATAGTTATTCATCAGGGGTACACCCTGGACGGGATGCCGGTCCGTCACAGGGCACGGGGCTGGGGTACACCCTGGACGGGATGCCGGTCCGTCACAGGGCACGGGGCTGGGGTACACCCTGGACGGGATGCCGGTCCGTCACAGGGCACGGGGCCGGGGTACACCCTGGATGGGATGCCGGTCCGTCACAGGGCACGGGGCCGGGGGACACCCTGGACGGGATGCCGGTCCGTCACAGGGCACACAGACTGATGCACTTGCGCAATATTTCACAGTAGTAGCTGTACTCAGTCCAATGCAGGACACCCGTATACGGCAGGTCCCCTCAAAAGGTTCAGTATTTTTGCTGTCACTGGACCTGTAAGATGTCCTTCAGTTTACCCTTGTGCTCTCTTACACCATGAAGGAGTCTTCCTGAACCTCTGATGACCTACAGCCTGTACAAGGACTTCATCAACCTCGCCAGTGAGTGGCCGTCTTTTCATCTGGCAGCCTTACAGCATGCTAACTGCACTCTTATTTGCATTTTTCCGGGTCAGGAATTCAGTGAGTTGCCTTGGATTGATATGGTCCTGGCTGTGTAGCCAATGACGGGGCTGCTCGTGGTTCATGACCCGCCCACTGGCCTCTTTCCTTTTTCTCGTTGGCATTTGGACTGTAAATGACCCACTAGATGTTTTATTTTTTGCATTTCAACATGTGACCGAGCCTGGTGTACTGATTGGGCAGCAGCGTGCCCCAAGTGATAAAATCGTATGAGTACAGTTATGGATTTCACTTTATGTATTTTTCTTTTTCTTTTTTGTTTATATACATATTATTATTATTTATAAAGGCACTCTTTGCTTTTTGCCTCTCAGATGGATTTAATTTCAGTAATTGGAGGAGAAATCTCTTCGGATATTTTAGAATTGTTGTTTTTTCCAGAATTGTGTTGGGCCGAGCCGCCGCCTTGGATCATGCTCAGGATTTGGCCTGGGGGTGGGGGTTGGTTTAAATAAATGTCTATTTTAAGCTCCGTTCGTGCTTCTCAAGACCGGAGCAGAAATGGCCCTTTTTTATAAGTCTTCCCAAAAGCTGGTTTGTAGACGTCCTGAAGACCAGTGCCTGTGTTTGAGTGCTGTAGTGTCGATTGTAGACGTCCTGAAGACCAGTGCCAGTGTTTGAGTGCTGTAGTGTCAATTGTAGACGTCCTGAAGACCAGTGTCTGTGTTTGAGTGCTGTAGTGTTCAGCTGCTCATTTCTGTTGAAAAACCGGCCACTTTTCCCGGGAGAGCTGCTGAATGGCCATGTTTACCGCCATGTTTCGGCATGTTAACTTAACTTTACTGTTTCAAAAATCCTTATCTGAAGGTGTGGTACCTTCTGATTGGAAGAATGCCAACATAACACACATTTTCAAAAAAGGGGATAGAAGTAATTTGTCAAACTATAGGCCAATCAATCTAACTTGTATAACTGGTAAAGTTATGGAGGCTATAATCAAAGAGAAAATG